CTACAAGGGCGGCCAGGAGCGTCTCTCGGCGGCGGAGGCCGAGCGCTACCCTCGCCGATAAACGATTCGGGCAATTCGGTGGGCGCTCTGGGAAAGGGTTCGTAGTTCGTGGACCGTGTGTCGAAGTCCGAACCCTGCCCGCGCCTCCTTATGGGAAGGATTCAGGAGAATCGATGTTTGGTGGGGGTAGGGTTCGAATGTGGCCACCTACAGGAGAGCCCAGCGCGGGGGGCGGCCCCCGATCAGAGGAGGGAAAGGTCCCATGCCGCTTTGCTTCCATCGTCTTCCTTTTTGGGCCTCCTGGGAGGCCCTCGTCGCCACCGTTGGATTCGCCTCGAGACTCTGATCAGAACGTCTCCTGGACGAGGTCTGAGGAGCAGCGGTACTGGTACTTTTTAGGGTGTTTCTCCACCCGATGTCGCAGCGGTTTGGAGAAGTATGCGAGGGTGCATGACAGACTGTCAATGTATGGGTACACGGCCAATTCTTGGCTAAGGGTTGCGGTTTTCGGGCCGTTCCCGAAGTCTGAGGAGGTTATGTTCGTTGCCGAGGCTCGCCGCAGCCAGGAACGCCCCTTCGCTCCCCCTTGGACGCTCCCGTTGGTAGCACGAGGACTGCATGTGGAGGCGCCAGCAGGGCCCCCCCCCCAGCTCACCGCGTGAGACTGGCGTCGCAGCGAAGCCCTTTCGAGCCCGCCTCTCAGACTGCGGGGGGGAGGGGAGGAGGGAGGAGGGGGAGGACCGGAGGACGTCGGCTTTCCACCTCGCCGGCTCTGGCGAGGCCGATCCTGGGGCCAGGATCGGTGCGTGTGCGTCCTCGGCCAATCCAGGAGGGCGCATGCACAGAGATCCCTGGCCCAGGATGGGCCCTGGACCGGGGCAAGAAACCCAGCCCTGAGACCCCAGGATGTCCACTGATTTTGGGTGTGGGAACGTCACGCTTCCCACAGCACAACCCGTCGAAGCCCAGGAAACCCAGAGCACCCTGGAGGCAAGCAGGTTGTCTCTTGGCATGGGCTTCCCACTGTGGAGATCCCTGGCCCAGGATGGGCCCCGGACCGGGGAGGCCGCAAGCTGAGGTCCCCCGAGGAGGGGCACGGCTCCGTCGCCGCGGGGCTGGAGAGGCGGCCTGTGGCGCCCACCGTCCCGCCAGCCTCGTGCACGAGAGCAGGAGGGTCACTCCCTGCCGTCTCGCCGTCTTGTCGTCGTCGCCTGCCTTCCCCTCCCAGCGCTCGCCTTCTTTCGCTGCTCCCCCCGCTGTGCCTCCTCCTGCCTCTGTCGTCTCCTACCTCCCCCTCTGCTTCCCCTCCCGAGCTGCTGTCTGCATGCACCAGTCGTGCCCCTCGTGTGATGCTCCGCAGGAGGTGAACTTTGTAGAGGGCCTGAAGGCCCCAGAGATCCTCAAGTTCATCGACCACAACCTCCCCGATGTGGAGGCCACCCTGACTATGCCTCCGTGCCTCTCCCTCTCGTCCATTCCTCCATCACTCCCTCTCCGTTGCTTCCCTCCCTCCTCAGCCCTCATTGGCCATCCTTCACATGCCCTTCTCCTTCTCATCCTTGCCATCCCACTCTGTATCCTCGGCGCCTTCATCCTCCGTCTCATCGTTCCTTGCCCCCTCCATCTGCGCCTTCTCCATCTATAGATCCCCCCTTCGCCTCAACCTTGTCCCTCCTTACTGCTCTTCGTTATTCTCCATGTGGGTTCCCTTCCCTTCCCTGGCGGATGACTCCTCCTCGCCACACCGCCAGACGTGTCGGTAGGGAGTCCCAGGCGTTTCGCCCGGGCCTTCGCGCAACACGTGCTTGCAAGGCTTGATCGTCCCTCAGCGAACCACACCGATTGGGCTCGGATGGTTCTCAAAAGCTCTCGAGCAGTTGTGCGTGTTGCAGCTCTCGGGCAGGGCAGTCTTGGTCGTCGAGTGGCCTTCGGCCCATCCCGCCACTGTGCCTGGGTTGTGGGCCTGAGGCCTCCAGGGTGTCGCGGGAGGCCTCGTGGCGCCTCGCGGAGACAGTCCTGTGGCCTCTCGGCGGACGTGCTGGGGGCCTCGCGGGGGCCTCGCGGGACGAAGTGCTCGGATGTTCGGTGCGTGCTCCCCCCCTCTCTTGGGCCCTTCGGCCGTCTCGAGGCCTCTCGGGCCCTCTCGGGGGCCGCCCTGGGGGCGCTGCTGCGAGGCCCCCGTGAGGCGGGCCCCGTCCACCTCTCAGTGCGTCTGCGCGCGCTTCCCGCCTCGTGCTCCTCGCCCTCGCCGCCCGCCCTCGGCGCCGACGGAGGGCCGCCAATGGGGGGCCACGTGCGAACCCTACCCCTACCCCCCACGATTTCTGGGGGGGAGGGTGGGGTTCACTCCGTGCGGGAGCTCCCGAGCGGAGTGACACCCCCCCCCCCCCAGAAGTCGTGGGGGGTGGGGGTAGGGTTCGCGTGTGGCCCCCTAGCCAGGCCTTCCGCGCCCCCCCCCGGGTGCCCTTCCCCCCCGGCGGCGCAGCAGGCCGAGGACTGAGGGCGCTGCGGACTGACGCCGCGCAAGCCGTGACGCTGCAGGGCGGCGCCCCAGACATTTGCACACGGGCGAACGGTGCTCTACTTCGGTAGCAACTCTCGGAAACTGGAACATATACCTTTCCAGTGGCGGGCTGTTTTTCAATCCCACGGCTTTTTAAAGGGTCGGGGACGACGTCGGGGTGGTGTGGTGTATACATTTCCCCCGTTTTCCAAGGGAAACGACGAAACATGTATACACCAGGATCCCGTATACACCAGAATCCGCGTTCTTGTGCGAATTTCAGCGCAGGGTCGGGAAAAGCGTCGGTGTATAAAGTTCGCTTCCCTATGTATACCCTCGTAACACCGTCTACAGATCGCAGTGCGCGTCGATGAGCGTTTGGTGATCGCTGGGATGTCGCAGATTTGGCGTCGATTCGCAAGCGCCACCAAGATGTATGGGCGGCTCGCACGAGTTGCAAGAGCATTGTAGAAGTAGCTGGTCCGTGGCCAAACCGATTGTAGGGAAACCTGGTCCGTGCTGTGCCGACGTCGTTCGACACATTCGCATGTACTTAGAACGCAGGAATGCGTGGCTTGTGATTTCCCCCACTTGTTTCCGCGCGCGCGCTCGGTGCCACCAGAGCCAGGTTCCCGACGATGCCGTTAGTCTACAGAGAGGTGCTGGATCAGGGACCTCTGGTTAGCCGCAGCTGTCCAGCTTTCGCGCCGAAGACCGCGGGAACCCGCCAGCAGACCGCCGAAGACCGCCCAGGGCCGGTGGGCAGCGAGGGGCCCATCGTCGAATGCGCAGCCTGCATCGCCGTTCGCCCAGCCCAGCCCTGGAATACACATCTCGGCGGCGAGCGAGGGGGGGAAGCGAGACAGAGAAGGCCTTCTCGGAAGGCAGCGGGACTTCTGAGAAGCCCCCGCGCCTCCTGAGAAGCTGTCTGTGTCCTCGGGGAAGGCTTACGAGGCTTCTCAGAGGGCCAGGGGATTTCCGAGCCTTCTGAGAAGGCCCGCTCTCGGGGGCAACGATAGGGGGGGATAGGCATAGGGGGGGATGCATCGACCCCCAATCGCCCATTGATCGCCGATATGGGCCCGATAGCCCCAGCCTGCCCAGGGAGGTGCGGCTTCACGATCGGAGGCACATCGTCGATCTATCGGCGATGTATCGCCGACTCCAGGTCGATGCATCCCCCTATGTCGGGCAAACGTAAGACTCGAGTAAGCCGGAACTCGGGTTTGCCATTTTTTTGTTGACGAGCGCGTCCTGGATTTTGAGTGTCCCGTTTTCGTGGGACGTCTGCAGCGGGAGCCCGCGCCAAATTTCAGTTTGGGCTTCGTCGGTTTTTGTGATGGCCCTTCGTCAGGCTAACCCGAGTCCCCCTTACCCGAGTCTTACGTCTCCCAGACTGTGCCAGTCCCCCCTTACACGCTGGTCGTTCAAAGTAGGTAGATTCCCAGATCCCAATCTACTTCAAGTGCCTTCCTACTTTAAGAATCGACATGCTTCTGCTGTGTTTTGTTATTCTCTGGGAGGACCTGGACCCAGTCTACCACATCCGCCTTCCTGCTTCCTGTTTCTACCTACCTCTTCCGACCGACGTGCATCGTTGCCCCTCACGCTCCTTCTCACCTCCCCCCCGCGCTCGCCGCCGGGCATCTGAATCCCCGGCTCCCCGGGAGCGGCGCCCCGGGCGCGCCCCTCCGAACGGAGGCGCTGCCCCAGAGTGGCGGGTTGATATGGCCCTCGGGGCGACCGCTCGGGCCGAGACCTCCGCCCCGAGGCCCCGCCCCCGCCCCCGCCCCCACCCCGCAGGGCTCAGCCGTGGTGGGCCTGTTTGCCACCACCACCACCACCACAAGTTGGAGGGGGGAAGGAGGCGGAGAAGGAGGAGGAGGAGGAGGAGGAGAAGGAGGAGGAGGAGGAGGAAGGGGAAGAGGAACAGGATGAAGGGGAGGAGGAGGAGGAAGGGGAGGAGGAGGAGGAGGAGGAAGGGGAGGAGGAGGGAGGAAGGGGAGGAGGAGGAGGAGGAGGAGGAGGAGGAGGAGGAGGAGGAGGAAGGGGAAGAGGAGGAGCAGGAGGAAGGGGAGGAGGAGGAGGAGGAGGAGGAGGAGGAGGAGGAGGAGGAGGAGGAAGGGACCCCCTCCCCCTCCTACTTGTGGTGGTGGCGGTGGAGAGCAAGCCCGCCAATTCGCTCACGCTCATGCTGCTCCGCCTCCTCGTCGTCGTCGTCATTATCCTCCTCGTCGTCGTCCTCCTCGTCGTCCTCTTCGTCGTCCTCCTCCTGCTCCTCTTCGTCCTCCTCCTCCTCCTCAAGCCGCCGCCACGGCTGAAGGGCGCGGGACACGCGGCCCTTCCATCCTTTTCATCGCCCGCCAGGGGAGCAGCGCGCGATGCCCACTCGCCCTCGGGGCCCAAGAGGCCCATGATGGCGGCTCTCCTCTTGCTCGCGGCCGTCGGCTTCTCGCCGCGGGCGGCCGCCTGCACGTCGACAGGCGCGTGCCGCGCCCTTGGACGCACTCAGGAGCGAGAGCCGCAACCTGCTCAGCACACCAGGCTCTACGAGTACATCCCTATCTACCTGACGGGCAGCACCCGCGCGCAGGAGATCACCCACGCGCACCACATGGGCGAGATCCTCTTCCCTGGGATGAACCGCCGCCCGACACTGGACGGCAGCCACAGCCTCTTTCTGCGCGGCTACCACTGGGAGCTCTCCTTCGGCTGGACCAACAAGTGCTTCGGGGGGCGCATCTTCCTACATCGGCGGTTTCTGCAGGCACACCTACGTCTGACCTACCCTCCGCCCGCGGCGCTCTCGGGCCGCTACGGTGCGACAGTGCCGCTCCTCAGACGTGCTCTTCTTGGTTCGGCACCTTTCCGCGCCATCCGAGTCCGACTCATACCGCCAGGTGGCCCAGGCCATGACCTCGTGGGCACGCATCATGATGGAGTCTGTGGGCAATCGTCGCACGCCTTCTGCGGGGCGGACCTCAGCTCGGCGACTCCGTGGACGAGACGTATCTCGGCTCCTCGCCCCTGCTCGTGCCCGTCTTGTGGAGCGAGGTCGACAGCGACGTGGGCACCCTCCTGGAGCTGGAAGGCCTCCCTGGACGTCTTCGGCAACGGTTCCTCTCGGACCGCGACGCCTTCTTTGCCAGCGGGGAGACTTACTTAGGGACGCTCGGGCGATCACGCAGGATCGACTTCTTCTACGCCCCGTCCGCCCTGGAGTCCCACATACGCCAGTGCAAGGCCCCCTTGGGAGCAGGTCGCCGCCTCAACGTACTGTGCGATCGAGACCACCGCTCTGTCTACGCGGGCGACAACTTCGAGGCCCACGCGTTGCACACCTGGGACTACGACACGATCACGCTTCGCCTGGAGGGCGCCCTGAAGTCGCGCGACCTGCAGCAGGCGGTCACGATCCTCCCCAAGATGATGCGCCTGCACGCCTAGTCGCTCAGGGACCCAGCGGACTCGGTATGGATCAGCATCGTGACCACGCCCACGGCTACCTCGATCGTCGCAGTTCGGGAAGCGGGCAAGATGTACGCAGAGGCGGCGCAGTTCCCCGAGGCGAAGCCCCAACTCACCATATTTGTACCTCGCTCACGCCGAGTTCAAGTACCCGTCGGCCTTCGTGGTGCAGGAGGCCCCGCAGGGGCACGGGCTCCCGCGTACCTTCTACCAGCAGTTCGTTTGCACGGAGACGGGCTCGGAGCTCTTTTCCACCTCAGGCTGCGCACGCGCTACAACGACCAGTACACCAGGATGCAGTTCGCCAGCGCGGACCAGATCACACTGAAGAGCGTCAACCCAGACGGCCCTCGGGAGACTTGTCTCGTCGTTCTGGGCGGCCGCCAGAAGATGGGGACGGGCCACCTGGAATCGATGGCCCAGAAACTGCCAGACAAGAACCGCCAGATCCACTACGGCCAGAAGGGCTGACACGGGTGGTGGATCCTACGGAAAGAGATGGGCGATCAGAACACTACGTGACGACATGAGTCCAGCAGCTTCGCTATAGCACCAGGCCCCTTTAGTCGCTCTCGCCGCCCCTGGTCTCTAGGGCGCGCCGTCGGCCCTCTTCTTCGGCCTGGTTTTTGTTTTTCCTTCTCGGGGCCTCCTGGGGTGTCCAGGGAGCCTGCTCGGTGCTCTCCGCGCCGTCGAGCTCGGCCCCCAGGGGCCAGAGGGGTATCACCCCCCGCCCGCGGGCGTTTTATTGTTTCCTGTCCTGCTCGGCTCGGATCCACGGTGATCACAGCTGCACGGCGCGCCCACACGCCTGACCTCGTTCGGTCCGAGGAGATCGCACGACTGTTCAGAGGTGTCCCCGAAGTCGCGTTTCGTGAGCTCGAGGGGTGAGTGTCTTCAGACTCACAGCGCAATGCCGGGTCCATCCATCCATCCATCCATCCTCCTCCTCATCTTCCGCCTCCTCCAGGGGGTTGCGGGGTGGCTTCTTAGAAGCATCCCTGCTTCGCAGCATGCGCGGCCCTCATGTAGGGCCGGTACTCTCTGAGAAGCAGCCGCCTTCCAAGAAGCCTTCCCCACTGCCTCCTGCCCCCTTTTGCGCGCGGCCAGTCATCTCGACTCCTCCGATTCGATTTCGATGGCTTCCGATTCGGTTTGAATTTGACTTCGGCTTGGGATTTGGATTCTGATGTCCCAATGGAGCCCTCAAGGCATGCCGATCTCTGCCGGTCCGACTTCTTCCGACTCCGCTGCTGATTTCCGCCGTTCCGATTCGCTTGGATAGCCGATTCGACTTATCGATTCGATTCTGGGCTCTCTTTGCCTGAAACTTGTTGGGCGTCTCGTCACGGGGGGGCCGTCCGTGGGAGGGGGATCGAGGGTTGCATGCAAGGGGCCTCAAAAAGGAGGCCCCCTGGGGCCCCGAAGCTAGGATGCACCTCCTTGGAGGTTAGATTCTTAGGCTTACGCCACACCGCCGACCCCTTGTTTATGCCAATCTGGGGGTAGTAGAAGCTGCGAAGGGGTGAAAA